AATGGAGCACTGGGTGTTATACACAAACAATGAATCATGGAACACTACATCAAAAACTAATGATGTAATGTATGGTGATTAACATAATAAAATAAAATAAAATAACCTAAAACTTCTGGAGGCTAGTTTCACTGGGAGGAATTGCCCACAATTTGAAAACAACAGAAAAAAGACACCAGGATAAGAAGAGTCTTCCGTGTATACGACCCAAACTCATGGCTCAACTACACCTATCTTTATAAACTGTGATACAGTCACAACCAAAGCTATGCTAACAACTACTTTACCTTTGAAAAGCACTTTGTGATTTTCAAAGCACTCTCTAACATATGTTCTGTAATTTGATCCTGATAACCTTTGAGACAGGCAAGCAGGTATAATTATATATAAATAAGAAAATAGAATTGGGACTAAAATTCTATCTTTTGAAGTGTTTGTGGGGGAAAGAGGAAATTCAAACTACTGGCACTTGTAAAATAAAAAACAAGTATCCATAATTAGGGGGAAAATAAAAGCCATTACTGAAAATAAAACCTAAGTCACTTTAAGCCTAAATGTTGGCCTGTCGGAAAATATAAACATTTAACTTTAATGACTGTATTTCTCTTTGTTGTTCTAAAATTACAATATTAATGTAATCTCTTCTCTTCCAGTGGCACGCAGACATCAGCACTGGGGAGGCAAGTGCTTAAGAGGGCCCGACGGTGTCAATCATCTCGTCCCCTGTCCAAGATGAGCATTTAGTCAATAGGTGAGAGAAATAAAGCCGATGCTTTAACAAAAATGCACTCTCCAAGGCTTCATAAATACATTATCAAAGGGATGTCTCTTCTCACTTACTTCGCTTGTCTCTTTAATGGGATCTGTCAACTTCTAATGAGTCTGGTGTATGGAACAGATTCAGAGGAAGACACAGAGACAGACAGCTGTGAGGAACTTCACCTCCAATAAGCTTCAACAAACCCATTAAAAGGAAAGCCATATGACAGAATGCGAGCCTTTGCTGCACTTGCTGTCATGACCCAGGAAAGGGGGAAGAGCAAAGACAGAGAGATGAATAGGGACAGGCAGTGAAAAGATACTTAGAGAAGTATTTGAGCGTTTGACAAGCCACTCACTACGACTGAACGACAGATGGAAAATTTCTACAGCAGCTACTCAAATCCAGAGGGAAGGGAGTTCACTCTCAGACTGGACCAGTTTGACGCACGCTTCCCAATGGGGGCCAGGGGAAGTAGTAAAAAGAGAGGAATAAGGACAGGAACTGGCAGCAAATTAATACTTTTTTAGTTGTCATTTCAAAGATTAAGCCTGAATTACATGGGCTTGACATGCAAAGGTGTAAGCACATTAAGATAATTTAACTGTCAGTTTACTTGGAAGATCAAGCTATAAAAATAACCTATCTTCTATATCTAGATTGTAAATATATTCTCTTTTAAACATATTTTACCAGGCTAACAGAAGAGATTCAGGTTAAGTAAGCCCCATGGGGCTCAATTCTCATGGGACAGATAACAAGAAGACAGGTTTTCCTTTAAAGATCTCCGTTTTCTTACTGTATATTGAGCTCAGAGAGGTAGACATTCCAAACAATTAGAATTTTCAGCAGTCCTTTAAATGTGAGGGTATTCATTCTCTGACTCAGAACTAACTTTTCCTCTCTCAGAATTACTACCTCTGGTCCCTAACAGACCTGAAAGCTAATTACTCTTCCTGTGTTCAGACTTATTTGAACCCAGGCAAAAATAATTCTGCTAAAAAAAGTGTGCTGACTTCCAGAAAAGGAAAGATTAAATGTGAAAGTCTAACTCAAAGCTCCATTTGGTTAAAGACCAAAGCATCTCCTTTCACTCTGGTTAAGGGGTTACTGGAAGTCAAGAGAGTTGTAAGTAGAGAAAACACAGAAACAGTAAAGAGAGCATTCACATCAGTAGAGCAAGTCAGCACAAAATTCTCAGTATCACATATGCTAAGTATAGTGACTGCAATATAATTAGATAGTGACCCATGCACTGCACACATTCAAGAGCAAGTAGAAACCCCAACTGGGGTCACACTCTCGCCCTCTCTTCTTGGATTTAAGGTCCTTAATTCTGATGCAAAAAATGATCTTCAACCTACGGAAGTGAAGAAAAGGATTTCTTGCCTTGGGCATTTCAGGTTATCAGTGAGAATCCATCCACCTAACTGCCCCAATCACTATGGCTAGGCCACAGGCACCTGCTGCGCGTGCATCAGGGGGCGTGACCAGCACTCTCAGAGCAGGGCAGTAAGAGGCTCTTCTCAGAATTAAGCCCTTAATGGCCAAAGCATCCCTTTATGCATGTAATAAATTAACTTCTTTATGATCTACAATGTCATTAGCTATATGCCATTCTCATAAGAAGTGAGAAAATAGTCACTCAAAGTATTTGAGTAGTGCTCAATCCTGTCACAGAGCTCTGGCTGAGAAACACGATTCTAAATAATGGCTGCTGATCAGCAGGAACAGCATGAGCCAGACCCAAGCCCATCAGGCTCCTATATCCAGAGACAGAGAGGGGGTTTTGAATGTGTGCACAGTGAAAAACCATGGAAAGCCATAGCTAGGTTACTGAGAAAGTAAATAAGGAACTTCCTGGCACTAGCAGTGAGGAGGGAACACAGGCTCATGGTGCTTGTGCTCAACTCCTGTCGGCAAAGCTGGTCACATCTGGGTGTACTTCAAAAAGCCTCATCAGTCTGACGAAAAACTGCAATGGCAGAAGCCCTAGTGAAAAGGAGTACAACTTGCCTATCTCCAACAGTCTTGTTGATGCCATTCCCTTCTAATCCCGACTCTCTGAAAACTGCAGAAGATTCTAGAAGTTCTAAGATGAGAGTCATCACAACAGTTCACCATGACACAGGACTCAGACTGTCATCCCTGAGTTAAAGACCATACATAACATACGCTGAGTTTCCATCAAAAACTCTTCTCCTGGTTGGGAAGGGAAAGGGGCTGGAGAGATAGATAAGAGCATCTTGTCACCTAAATCAGTTTTTAGCTCTTCAGATCTCTGCCACACCAAAATACGTATACATTAGAAAGTCAAAAAGTTAAAAAAAAAAAAAAGAACCCAAAGGTTCTGCTCTCCTACTGTCCTCATCCTCCCCTGGTTGCCTTCTATGCTGCATGAATCCTAACCAACTGCTACTACAATATTCCAAGTGCTGCACCCAGAAATCCAAATTCCTGGCTTGCTATTCATTAGTGGCTTGTACGAAGAGCAAGTACCACACTGCTCTAGCCCACCATGTCACAAGGGAGCTGAGAAAAGCTACCACCTCGGCCACACGATTCAGATGGATGACACCTTTACCACCAAAAAGAACCAGGCCAAGGACCTCTGAGGGGCCTTCCTTTTATAGAACGCAACAAGTGTTTTGCAGTCTAGCCACTGACCTTCCACAGAACCCCAATCTCTTAAGAATTCCGAAGGCAACAAACAAAGAGAGACTATTCAGCAAGTGATAAGTAAATTTTTTTTTTTTTAAAGATTTTATTTATTTATTCATGAGAGACAGAGAGAGAGGCAGAGGGAGAAGCAGGCTCCCAAGGAGCAGGGAGCCCGATGCGGGACTCGATCCCAGGACGCTGGGATCTTGACCTGAGCCGAAGGCAGACGCTCAACCATCTGAGCCACCCAGACGCCCCGTGATAAGTAAATTTTACTGGGCAGGGCACCATAGCATTTGGAGTTCCTTTTCCATATTCTACCCGTCCACAAAGCACTTCCAGCCGGCCAGCCTGCTGGCCTACCGGCCTGCCCACCTCACAGGGGCTGTCCTTTCCCCACATTTACCCTCTCGGCTTAGGAACTTTTCATGTTTCCTCTACATAGTGCCAACCATTTAAATCCTTACCCCCAAATCAAGATACATAAACTGTGAAAGGAGAGATTATTCCAACTATCCAAAATCTACAAATCTGTTTTAATTTCTGGTCATTGTAATTTCTAGAAGTCTGCCCATTGAAAGGTGTTCTGGACATAAAAATCCCACTTCTCCTGTGCTCCCTACATTAGAAGAAATGGAGGGATTTTCCTATTTCTAAATGAGGTCACAGGATCCCAGAGTCCTGCTGCCCCGCATTAATCTATTCCCAAAATTCGTTTTGGTGGAAGATGTTATTTCTTGTTTTACTTTACTGGAAGGCATGATTTTTTTTTTTTTTTTAAGATTTTATTTATTTATTTGACAGAGAAAGACACAGCAAGAAAGGGAACACAAGCAGAGGAGCGGGGGACAGGGAGAAGCAGGCTTCCCGTGGAGCAGGCAGCCCAATGTGGGACTGAATCCCAGGACTCTGGGATCATGACCTGAGCCGAAGGCAGATGCTTAACGGCTGAGCCACCCAGGCGCCCCTGGAAGGCATGATTCTTAATCAAATACTCCCAAATATATAGATTCTATATACTATACTATATACCAGTATCTAGATTTTAACTAGATAGATACTCTTCTACCTACAAAGTGAAATTTTCTTCAAGTTAAATACACTTTCCAGAGCAGCCACTTCTCTCAAGAATACCGCTAACTCAAAGTACCCTCAAAAGCGGATTTAATACCCTCATAAGCAGAGATGCCATTACATGAGAACAGAATATTCTAACTTTTCCTGGTCTAAGCCAACTACCCTCACTATTTTAAGCAATTGCAGTTTTGCGCCAGACATGATGAGGCTGTCCCCTGAACTTGGGCAGCTCACCAGAAATATCCCAAACACGCACAGTCTGGTCCAGGCTGGCTGACACAACCAGGTCTTCTGAGGGGTGAAACTGAGCACACATTACATAATGGTTGTGTCCTGTTAACACGCTGCAAGAAGAAAAGAGAAAGACAATACCAAATTAGAGGCAGGACTCAACAGACTCCTACACACTAAATACTACTCTCCATTTTTAACAGATAACAGACCCAAGTATTCTTTTTGGAGGCAAAGGCAAGTCAACCTAACAATTCTGAACTAGTAACAATAAGCAAAGTCAGCTGCTTTAACAATAGTCCCCTTCTTTGCTCTGATGCTTCAGCATTTAAATATTACTAATTGCAGGAGACAGCTCTCCTCTCATATTAAAAACGTTCATATATCAAAATAAATGGAGTCCTAGTAATTTATACTGGAAACTACCAGTTAGATTTTGGTGGGATAATCCCTCTTAAATGGCCTCATTTTTCAATGGTCCTTACATCTTCATGAGAAGTTCAAGACCCAAACACAAAACAGGATGGAGGTCTAGACCTTGACTCATGTTTCACGAGAACAGAACTGAAAACCAGCTAAAAGTTTTGTTCTAAAACCTAGTGATAGGACCTCCCTTCCCTGGCAAGAAATGATCAGAAAATCCAGATCGATACATTACTGACAAGATTGCCTCTGTATTTATCATTTTGCATGTGAAAGCATCTTACAAATACAATCAGTAATGAATCAGCGGGCAGGGCCCACTAGGGAAGGGAAAGGATTGCTCTGAAGGGAAGCTCATAATGCAAACACTAGGCAGAACGAAGCCTCTCTCTCAGCCGCATCTCCTGCTTTACCAGACACAGGTTCTAGACTGCCAGTTCCACACCCGGATGGTCTGGTCATCTGAGGCACTCAGAATCCAGGGATATTCCTGAAAGACAATCCAAAGGGTTTCGACACTAAACAAATGTGTTCTTTCGGGCTCTGTAACCATTCCTCTCTTTGGAGGAAACCCCCCACTGCCAGACGTCTCAGCTGTACTAGAAAGGGACCACAGCTTCTGATCTGCAGCCTCGCTGTCTCCTCCCCACCGTTCTGCCAGCTTTTCCACACCGGCACTTCCACCTGGAGATTTCAGAACAGAAGCCAGAAAAAGGCATAAAGGATTCTTAGAGGCAAAGAATATATATCGTACTTACTTTTCTGTGTACATGTGTGCATATGTGTATTTCTATTTATACACAGCTAGTCCTGTAAATTAAGATCCTATGAAAGGGTCTTCTCTCTTTCACTCTAGGATTAGAACACTGTTTTATGGTCTGACTCGTCAGGCCATCCAGTCTCAAAAAATTCCCATCCCAGGAACCAAAGCAAAAAATAACATGGAGAAACAACATAGCTCTTTTTGAGTCCATAAGCTCATTGAGAAAAGAAGGTATTTCTTATTCACAGTTGTATCTTCAGTGCTTAGCAAAGAACTTAGTAAGTACAAGGCACACATATACTTATTGAACCAAAAAAATAACAAAGTTTTTCTAACTTTCCAACTGGATGGCAACTTGTTACGCAGGTCTTCAGCACGTCCCTTATGCCGACAACAAAAAATTCCTGCTTCACAGGGCATCTTATTGAGCGGTTATCATTCTCAAATGGTTTTCTTTTTTTTAATTAATCACATATATTTCTATTAATTACTTAACATCACTGAAACCCAGTTTTTTCCATCCATAAAATGGGGTTATTATAGACATTTCTGAGTCGAATGATTCTTTGAATCATCCTGTACATGGAAGGAAGTTTAGCAGCATACCTGGATCCCATGCACCAGATGTCAGCAGCCTTCATTCCCTAAGCCGTACAACAAAAATGTGTCTGGACACTACCACATCCTCTGGGGGGCAAAATCCCCCATGGTTGAGAACCATGGAAGAGGTACCTAAAACCATTCTGGCAATTCAGCAAGCATTCCATTCACACTGGCCACCTCCTCCTCCAATCATTCTAGACTTAAAATAAAAGCAAACACCACAGGGTCTTACACTGCACATGATTTCTTCAAAGTCCCAGTAGTGCTGGAGGTAAAAATTTAGGATGAAAGGACCTGGAGAACGGCCTTAATAAAATGTACTTCCTCCATTTTGTTTTGTGCATTAAGAGAAGTTTCAGGCATCAAACAGAGAGCACGCTTGGCTTCATTTCTCATAAAGTGAAACAGGTCCTCCAGGACTAAGTACCAGCAGGATGGCCTTGTCAACACCAGCCGCGAGCTCACAGCAAAGCGTGCACCGTCTAAGAATTTTCTTTTTCATCATGATAAGTGTACTCTTTGATCCCCATGCTCTATTTCACCTATCCCCCCACCCACCTCACTTTTGGTAACCATCAGCTTGTTCTCTATAGTTAAGAGTCTGTTTCTTGATTTGTCTTTTTTTTCCTTCGCTCATTTGTTGTATTTCTTAAATTCCACATGAGTGAGATCATATGGCATTTCTCTTTCTCTTATTCTGCTTAGCATTATACTCTCTAGCTCCATCCATGTCACTGTAAATGTCAAGATTTTATTCTTGTTTAACACTGAATATTCCACACACTTCTTCATCCATTCATCTATCAATGGACACTTAGGCTGCTTCCAAATTTGGCTATTGTAAATAATGTGGCAATAAACATAGGGGTGCATGTATCTGTCTGAAATAGTGTTTTTGTATTTTGGGGGTAAATATCCAGTAGTGTGATTACTGGATCATAGGGTAGCTCTATTTTTATTTTTTTGAGGAATTTCCATATTATTTTCCAGAGTGGCTGTACCATTTTGCATTCCCACCAACAGTGCACGAGAGTTCCCCTTTCTTCATCCTCACCAACACTTGTCATTTCTGGTGATGTTTTTAGCCATTCTGACAGGTGTGACATGATATCTCACTGTAGCTTTGATTTCTATCTCCTTGATGCTGAGTGATGTTGAGCTTCTTTTCAGGTGTCTGCTGGCCACCTGCATATCTTTGGAGAAATGTCTGTTCATGTCTTCTGCCCATTTTTTAATTGGATTATTTGGTTTTGGGTGTTCAGTTTGTTGTTGTTGTTGTTGTTTTCAAGCAGGCTCCAAACCCAGCATGGAGCCCAACACGGGGCTTGAACTCAGAACCCTGAGATCAAGACCTGAGTTGAGATCAAGTGTCAGATGCTTAACTGACTGAGCCACCAGGCACCCCTGGGTATTAAGTTTTTTAAGTTCTTTATATATATTTTTGATACTAAACCTTTATCAGATATGTCATTTACAACTACCTTCTCCCATTCCACAGGTTGCCTTTTAGTTTTGTTGACTGTTTCTTTTGCTATACAGAAGCCTTTCATTTTGGTGCAATCCCAACAGTTTATTTTTGCTTTAATTTCCCTTGCCTCAGGAGACATTATCTTGAAAAATGTTGCTACGGTCATGTCAAAGAAATTACTGCCTGTGCTCTCTTCAAGGATTTTTTTTTTTTTTTTCTTAAGTAAGCTCCATGCCCAGCGTGAGATCAAAACCTGAGCTGAGATCAAGAGTCAGCTGCTTAACTGACTGAGCCACCCAGACACTCCTCTAGGATTTTTATGCTTCCAGGTCTCATATTTAGGTCTTTAAACCATTTTGAGTTTATTTTTGTGTATGGTGAAAGAAAGTGGTCCAGTTTCGTTCTTTTGCATGTATCTGTCCGGTTTTTCCAACACCATTTGTTGAAGAATCTGTCCCATTGTATATTCATTCCTCCTTTGTCCAAGATTAATTGACCATATAATTGTGGGTTTACTTCTGGGCTCTCTATTCTGTTCCAATGATCTATGTGTCTATTTTTATGCCAGTACCATACTGTTTTAATTACTACTGCTTTGTAATATAACTTAAAAGTCTGAAACTGTGATACCTCCAGTTTTGTTTTTCCTTTTCAAGACTGCTTGGGCTATTTGGGGGTCTTTTGTGGTTCCATAAATTTTAGGATTGTTCGTTCTAATTCTGTGAAAAATGATGTTGGTATTTTGATAGGGGTTGCATTAAATCTGTAGATTGCTTTGGGGAGTATAGACATTTTAACAATATTTGTTCTTCCAAACCATGAGCATGGAATGTCTTTCCATTTCTTTGTCTCATCTCCAATTTCTTTCATCAGTGTTTTATAGTGTTCAGAGTACACGTCTTTCACTTCTTTGGTTAATCATTCTCAAATGTTTTTGCTATAATTTTTGCAATCATTCTAAATTTTTTTTAATTTTACAGAAAGAAATAAAACTATACTTAGCCAGGAAACTCTTATTTCATTATATTCTAACTTAATTCAAGAGACTTAATCAAGAAACAGTACAAATTAAATCTAATAGCACAGAATTATAGAAAGATCCAGCCAGGTTGAGACTGGTTAAGAGGCTGGGAGTCTCTAATCTACATTTAAGTCTGTCTTCTAGGAGACCTGACAGATCAAAGGTAGAAAGCCTGGCTAAAGGAACAACCTCTACTGTACCCGAAAATCCTAGGATAGAAGTGCTTGATTATGTTAATGCTTCAAAACATTTACTAGCTCATCAAAATGGCATCTAACCTTGCCCTCCCTCCAGACACACTTTAAAAACACCCCACATGGGATTAGTCTGCACACTTTTGTTCACGAGCTCAGCCAACCTGAAATCAAATCTCTACTTTTCCCTATAGAGAATCAATGCCTTCCTTATACAGCCCACTGAATCCAATTCAATTCAATTCAATATAACCCTGAGTGCTTCCTTTTGCAGAAGGAAACAAAGCAGAAAGGTCAACACCACACAGACTCTAGAAGAGCCACTCCAAGAACTCCAATAATTCTGTTATCAAAGCATGGGTTCTCGAGAAGCAAGAAGATTCCCAGAGAACCTGAAGAATGCTCTACAACTAGAGCCACAATGGCTACTTACGTGATGGAAGAATGTGGTGCGAATGTAGTCTAAGTGCCCAAGCAACGTGAAGAGACAGCGCCGAAGCTTGTAATTCCACACCTGCAAAGAGAAATCCAACTAAGCAATAGGACATAAGGGTCCTGAGCCTCAAAGAGGTTCAGGCTTCTCAATAAATACATCTGGTTTATATTTTGGCATTTCTAAATAAGTAGGAACCTTGACAGGAAGTCTTGTTTAAGACCTGTTTAAGGTTGGAGGTAGAAAGATCAAAGATGAAAATGTAGGTCAACCAAACATATGGAGAGGGGAAAAAAGGCAAGGCTAGGGACAATTACGGAAAAGTTTTTCCTTTCTTTGGGGAGAAACTATCTCAATTTAGTAACAGGAGACAAGAGGTTTATCCGGGGCTTAACTCTTCTTTCTACTGCATAATTGTGTTCTTAGCTTGAACACTGACCCCCAGTGTGTTACCTACTACCTTAACTCAAGATAAAAAAAGCAGGACAGATACCATGATTCTAAAGGAAACAGTAATATAACATATGGTATCATCTTCTCTTAGACTGCTAACTTGGTGGCAAACGATGCCCAAACATTCACAGTCTGTACTGAGCAGACAGACTTTAATTCATCACTATGGAAAATACTACATTGCTCACCATTAGGGTGAGCTAAGCAGAAAAACATCATATTCAGATATAAAGTTGAGCTAACTACCAAAGTACCAGGTATCAATGAACATAACTAAGAAAGACACTAAACCAGGACCAGAAATGTAAGCATACGCTCCCATCCAGAAAACCTCCCAGAAAGTGCAAAATTGAGGTCACTTGGCTTTTTTTTTTTTTTTCACTTGGCTTTTTTAAAAAACACTTTAACATTTAAAATTTTTTTTTATAATCTACCCTCAAGCCAACTAGTTACTATTCCTTTTTTACTTAAAAAAATTTAATTTTCTTTTGTAAATTACAAAAGGTAACACCATCTCCTGTAACAAATTCAAACAACCGGGAAGTATGATTGTCCAAACAAGAATGCAAGCTCCCTCAAGGGGGGGTCCTTGTCCACCATGCTCAACACTATACCCTTAGCATCTAAAACAGCCGCTAACACTTAGGAGGTGCTCAACAGGTATGTGCAGAAATGAGAAAAGGTAAACGACATGAAACATGAAAGTGAAATGTGAAAGTATCCCAATACTTTCACTGTCATCTGTTGAATTATCTATAAATAAAATACATGTACACAATGGAGTCTGAGTGTCACACAAAAATTAGATCATACCATAAATACCACTCTTAAAACTTTTTCCCCCTTACAGAGTTCAGTGTTTTAAACTTCCACATTTCCAGCTTTATAGTCCTCCACCAAACTCCAGAACTGTGAATCCTTAAAGACAAAGACCTGCAGGGTTTCTAGACTCTGGCCATCTGTGGCTCCCTGTGGTAACACTGCACACCGAGCCAGCTAGCTAATTCCTTTATTTAATGGCTTTATTGAGATACAATTCAAATCCCCAAAAAATTTATCCACTAAAAAACAAAGAATTCAATGTTTTTAGTACTTTCAGAGCTGTGCAACCGTCACCACCACCAATTTTAGAACACTGTATCACCCCCCCCCAAAACTATACCCAATAGCTGTGACTCCCCATTTCCTTCCAACCCCTCCAACCTCAGACAACCACTCATCTACTGTCTGTCTTTACTGATCTGCCTATCTGGACATTTCATATAAATGGAAAATAGTCTTTTTTAAAAAGTGTTAATGATTTGGGGAATAAATCTTTTTTCTCAAATGTCACCTAGTCTTTCCTTTCTTAAACAGATTATAAGGAACCCAAGTTAACCATTCTTGATAGTCGATGGTCATCAATATAAATGACAAATACTTTACTAAAAATATTATATAAAGTGATATCCCTAGGAGCTTTTGAGGTCTATCACGTGGTTTGAGCTTCCACAAGCCGCCCCTAGGATGCAGTACGAAAATCTAAAAAACAGAAAGAACTGTCCTTCCTATAATTCTAAGGCCTCTTTTCTCTGTGGGCAGCCATCACTTGTCACGCCTGTCACCTAAGTTATGCTGTGTAATCTAAAACATAACTTTCTGAGCTAGCTTCTGAAAAAAGTATCTTTTTTATGAAGTAAATTTCACTGGTTTGATTGGATACACATGCTTAATGAAAACCTGTGGAAGTAAAGAGAAATTTTTGATTTTTTATTTTATAGGTTCAAAGCCTCTGGCTCCAGTTTTGCTTTTATCAGCCAAGCTTCTTCAAAGAGCTGCCTATATTCTACTGCCTCACTTTTACATTAAGGTGCTAGGATCACTAACATCTTCCTAATTAAGCAATCCAAAGGTTACTTGGTCCTTATGTATTCCAACCAGTTTCTCCTTCCCCAAATCCTCTCCTTCCTTGGCATCCAATAGGCTTCTGCTTCTTCCCCTTGGTTCATCTCCAACCTCTAAAATCATTCTTTCCTATACTAACTCTACTTACTCTAGCTCTTAAATGACAGCTTCTCTTCTCATTCAACATGATCCCAGAGGGACACCTTCTACCACCTCTGCTTTGGCTCCCTCCTTCATGAGGACAACTCCCAAATATGACTCTAGTGCAGACACATCTCCACAAACTGCCCCTTAGGTACCTCAAACTCATCAGTATCAAGACGGTATTCATTACCCGTCTGCTGTGGACTGAATGTCTGTGTTCTCCCCCCAGTTTATAAGTTGAAATCTTAATGCCCAATGTGAAGGCATCAGGAAGCGAGGCCTTTGAGGGGTGCTTAGGTCATGAGGGTAGAGCCCTCCTGAATGGGATTAGTGTCCTTATAAGAGAGACTCTGCAGAAATCCCTCACCCCCTCCACCATTTGAAGACACACAGAGAGAAGGCAGCCGTCTACAGCCTAGAAGAGGAACCTCACCAGAAGCGGACTGTGCTGGCACCCTAATCTTGGACTTGCAGCCTCCAAAACTGTGAGAAGTCAGCTTCTGTTGTTTATAAGCCACCCAGGCTGTGATATTTTGTTATAGTAGCCCCAACAGACCAAGACACCATCCTCCCCCAGCACTCCGGAAAACTGCACCTCCTCGTTTTTCCTCTCCCCGTGAATGGTACCCAGTGACGTAGGCTAGAAGCCTGCAATAAAGGTCATCTCATTTGTCTCCCCTTACCGTCCCTCCAGCAGACTCATTGATGCCCTTCCTTAAGCTCTCAATTCCATCTCTGTCTCCATTCTGAAATTCTACCGCCTGAGGTCAGGCTTATGCAACAGTCACCTAACTGGCATCTCTGCATCCAGGCTTGCCCGCTTTATCCAGTCCTTTCTCTAGACTACCACCCAAGTAATCTTTAAAAAAAAGTGAACCTGATGTCACTCCTCTACTTAAACCTCTGTAATGGTTCCTTGTTATCTGTATGATGACATCCACATTTCTGAGCACTGCAAATAAGTCCTCCAGGATCCGGCCCCTCTCATCTTCTGGCTCTTCTCTCACCTTCTCTCCAGAGTTTATTCACGCAAAACTAATTACATTTCTCAGATGTATCCAGCTGTGCCATGCCTTTCTGTCTTTGACTTGGACTGTCCTTGCTGCTTTCACTTTGGTTATCTATTGTATCACTCAGCAAACTGTACATGCTATTATTTAGGGTGTATATGTATCTCCTCCATTAAAATAAAAGCTTCTTGAGAACAGAGATCATTTCTTATTTATTTTTGAATTCCCAAAAAAATAAAACAGTGTCTGATGTTATCACAGTAAGTATTCAATAAATGTTTGCTGGATAAGTGTCCCTGATAACATCAGAAGCCTGAGCTCTGTATGAATGCGATGTCCTGTTTTTAGTCCTTTCCACAACGGCCAAACCCCAAATCCTATCCTTTACTCCTAATCATAACAGACCCTTTATACCTTAATCTTATAGTCATCTCCTCCAGAGACAAACAATGGCTGCTGCTTATGGAAGTCAATGCCTCGTACTGGACCTGGGGAAAAAAGCAAGCAATGTATGTTAAAGAGAGCTGTACTTCCTAATCTCTAAGGTGATTCTTATTCAGGATCCAGCCCATCCATATTCTCTAAACCTAAAGAAAGCTTAAACTACTCCAGAAGACAATAAATATTTATATCTCTTTAATTTCCTCCTAGAAATTGTTATCTTACCATCATGTTCATCAAACTTGTCAATAAGGGTACACATCCGATAGTCCCATAACTGGATGACCCCATTGTGTAAACTGGTCAGGATCCAGGGTCTTTTGGGGTGAAAACTGAGCCCTAGGGAGAAAAAACAAACAAACAGGGAATGATCCAATGAGCTAAACATGGCCCACAATGGCATCCTGTCAATTTAGACAAGAAAAGCGAAGAGCTAAGTTAACCCTAGGTACATACACTCATTCACTGAATGCCAGACATCATGAATTTTATGCTGTTAGGTGCTGGATTTTGTTACATTGCTAGACTTTGTTTTAGGATGTTGTGAGGTTACTTGTTTTGAAGTTTGCTTTTACTTTTGTTAGTGTGGGTCCACAACAGCCTTTAGTCTAGATCTAATTTGGCACCACTATTAAGGCAATACCACCTGAGGTCTCTAGATGATGCCCTGCAGTATTAGGAGGCCTTCGATTCTGGCTAGTAGGAACACAAAACTATTCCCAGCTCTAAGTGAGCTCCAGGGATTATTCTGCCTTCTCTCTAGAGTTCTTTCCCAGGTTCTAGGTCATTTCCTCACATGCATATGCAGATTAGGACTCAGACAAAGGCCTGACAGCATCCCCTGGAGAACTCCAGCATTCCCTGTGCAGCTCACTCTTTGGTATTTTGTCCAGCAAACTCTGTCTTCAGTGAGACCACAGGGCTCTTTCCCCTTCCCTATACCGCAGCCTGGAAACTCTCCAGGTAGTAAGCTGAAACAATCATAGGACTCACCTTATTTATTTCCCTGAATCACTCTCCTGCACTGCCTGTCATGCAGTGTCTGAAAATTTTTGTTTCACACATTTTGTTCAGTTGTGCAGCTGTTTTAAGGTGGAAAGGTAACTCTGGTCTCTGTTACTCCATCATGACTGGAAATGGAAGTCCACAGAAGTAACAACTGCCAACCAGTCTGGAGTGTATCCTTTCAGATTTGTCATGCAGACCATATCATTTTATGAAAATGGAAATACGTTATGTAAACTTCTTTTCTTGCTTAGCTATATACCATGGATCTCTCTTTTTAACAACAGCAAAATACAAATGTACCATATTTTAAAATTATTTTAGTGATGGGCATTTAAGTTTTTTTCCCTGACGTTCATCTATCAGAAAATAGAGCTTAAAGAAAATACTTTTAGGGCGCCTGGGTGGCTCAGTCAGTTAAGCGTCCGCCTTCAGCTCAGGTCATGACCCCAGGGTCCTGGGATCGAGTCCCACATCGAGTCCCACATCGGGCTCCTTGCTCAGCAGGGAGCCTGCTTCTCCCCCCTGCCTCTGCCCCTGCTTGTGCTCTGTCTCTCTTTCTCTCTCCCTCAAATAAATAAATAAAATCTTTAAAAAAAGAAAATACTTCTACACATAATCTAGCCTGTTTGCATTATTACTGCTTTAGGCTAAAGACCTGGAAGTAGAATTGCTCAGGAATAGGGTATGTGCATTTAACATTTCCATAGATACTATCTGATTGCAAAAAAACTAGGGATATACAGTCTCATCAGGTTTCTGAAGATAGCAGTTTTGCACACAGTGCCCAACATGGATGTTATTGGTTATTTGTTTTGTTTTACTAATCTAAAATTTTTTAAAAAGGATATTTAAGTTTTTTTAAAAGATTATTTTTTTTTTTTTTAATTTATCTGTCAGAGAGAGAGAGAGAAAGCGCGCACAGAGGGAGAAGCAGGCTCCCTGCTGAGCAAGGAGCCCGAAGTAGGATTCCACCCCAGGACCCTGGGATCCTGGTCCAAGCTGAAGGCAGACGCTTAGCCGACTGAGCCACTCAGGCGTCCCTTTTTTTTTTTTTTTTTTAATTTCTTTCATTATTAGTGAGTTGGAGAATATTTTCATTTATTTACTGAACACTTACATTTCTTCTTCTAAGTTTTCTATTTTCCCATTAAAAGTTGTTTATTTTTTTCCTTCATGATATGTAGTAATACTCATTAACAGACAGTAACTCGCATATATTCTAACATCTTTTCACCCACTTTCCTTCTCTACTGCCCAGTGAGAAATCAGGAGAAGGGAAAGTTCAAGGATCATGAAGACCCATTTCAGCCATCCATAAATTCCATCAAGACTCCCGCAAGACTTAGAAACTGCTCAGAATCTATTCCCACATGAACAACGGCCTCCAGTTTTTGAGCTACTGAGTCTACACCAGGCACTGTAATGAGCGTTCTCATACACTATCTTACTCTAATTCTAAGGAAAAATGTTAATTATTTGCATTTTAGGGATGAGAAAGTGGAGATTTAGAAACCTTAAGTAAGTTGCTCAAGATCATACACCTTGTTAGGGGATGTTTCAGGATTCCAAAGCAAAGCCCTTTTGACTCCAAACACCAAGTTCCCAAACACCTTGTTCTAATGCATCTTACTAAATATTCAAGATATATGTACATATATTTTTCAGGGTCTCGCCAGATCGTACTTCTCTGCCCTTCCCATTCTAACATTCTAAGAGACGACTATTGCTCTTTCAATCATTTGCCCTCCACCTCCATCCACTCATACTCAAGCTTTGGAGTTGCCATATTTAGGAAATAAGAATGAAGATGCCCCGTTAAATCTGAACTTCACATAAAAAGCGAACAATACTTGAAAATTATTTCGTTGTTTATCTGAAATTCAAATTTAACCAGGCGTCCTGTATTTTACCTGGCAAACTCACCAAGTTCAGACTTCATGGGGTTACGGGCCTCAGTGTCCTGTTTGCAGGTAGGAAATACCGCCCAATGGAGGCACTGGACGTTGCTAAGGTGCAGCCAACGCCCCCTTAAGAGAGGTAGCCGGTGCTCATTTCCGAAAATGCTAGACTTCGATGTGAATGGCACAGGTCGAGACTCGATCCCCAGGGCCACTCCCTACAACACGGTCATCAAAAAGCCAACAGGTCACAGGGCCCCGGGACGGGAGCAAAGTCGGGGGCAGTGGCCCCAGGAGAAGAGGGAACGGAAGGCACTGGGAGCAGGCCTACCGGGCCTCCTGCGCTGCGGGAACCGCCACAGGTCAACCACATCCCGAGGGCGCTCCGCAGAAGAGAGCGCTGCAGACCCGCCGCCAGGCCGACCCGCCCTCCCCTCTTCCTCCGGGCTCGCTCGGTGGGCCCCACTCGGCCTCTCTCGCCCCCCGCGACAGCGCCGCGCCGACACCCAGAGCCCGAGCTCCCCCTGGTTTTCTCCATTACCTTTGACCCGCGCACTCTTGGTCTCGAATTTGGTTAGCATCCTTCAGGCCTGGGGCTCCGAGGCACCGACCCGAGCCCCGCCACTCCCTGCGGCCCTTCGGCTCCCTCCACGTCAGCGCCGCTCCGCTGCACCTCCCGGAAGCTCCCCGGACACGAACTTCCGGTCCCAGGAGCCCCGGACCACAGAGACGGCACCAGTGTTGGCCTAGAGAAGCCACTGCCGGACAGGAGGGGAGGGGTAGCTTCCGCTCAGCCGAGAGGCAAGATGGCCACGGCTGGGGGCAGCCCTGCGGCCGATCCGGGGAGTCGGAGACTTCTTCGCCTTGTGTCTTTCTTCGTCCTGCTGGCAGGTGAGGCTTTCCCCGCCCGTGAGCTCCGGCGTGTTAGGAGAACCGTCCGGATCGGCCGGGCCGCGGGCGCCGTCGTCCCTCTTCTGGTCCCCTCCGCCCCTGGGTCCCCGCACCCTGTAAATCCTCTTTCTCTTTCGTTCCCGCGACAGAAGTTCCCCCTTTTGCCTGGACTTGACTTGAGGGTCCCTTCTCCCCCGCGACACATCGTGTCCCCCATTTCCTCCTCCGGCCTCTTCCTGGACTTCCAGCCTGGCCCGCCCACTTTGTCCGGCTGCCTCGTTTTCCCCACGGCCCCAGCCACCCCACCCGCGCGTCAGAAAAGACAGGTGTCAGTTCCACTTGCCGTGCGTGTAGACCGTTGAAGATGAAAGCGGCCTCGTTGTGTGGGTGCAGTGCGGCGCTTCAGAGAGTAGATTCCTCGTTCCTTCCTCTGTTGATTCCCCCACAGACCCGCGCGTCCCTGTGCTTTGCCTCAGTTTGTCTTACCAGTGAAGTGAGACAAAGCTGGGCTCTGGGTACTCTTAACTGTTTAGGCCGTGGAGTAATGATTCAAGGAACTCGAGGCATTGACAGTGCACAGAAATGTTTGCTTACACGCATTTATGTCCTGGTATAGGTCTTCCTAGGTGGTCAAGCCCTAAAATGCAAACGTGCCTGGGTATAACTATGACCAATCCTTTCCCCAGATTCATGTTGTCTTTAAAGATTCCCAACAGAGAAACTAGAGTCGCCCCACACTGTGGTCACACACAAATGACCTACGGATGTTAGAGTAACTGACAGATCTGTGGCAAAAGGTTTCTCCCAGTTCTGTTCAGATTCCTGTACAAATGTCTCAAAGACCTTTTACTGTAACCTCTATTCTTCGACTAGCACCCTTTTGTTAAGTAGGGAGGTATATACATAAAAGGTAGGAAGCAGAAGTGCGCTCACCCATGCAACCAGGAACAGGTACATCCGAGGTTACATGCTCTTCTTTTAGGAAGTGAAGTTTTCTTTCTTTCTGTGTTGACGTAAGTTCCTCTAAGTGAAATCTGTAGTAACTCTCTGCAGCACCTAGCTGGGTGCATTCGTCCAGTCCAGTAATGTGTCCAGGAAGTGAGAAGAATGGCCATTAGTCCCATTTTAGAAAGTATGATATACCCAAGCCATGCGGCGAGCGAATGACTTGAGAGTGCCAATGTCTCTCAATTTTTTCTAACGCTTTTTATCTTCTGATCAGGTTTCTGCAGGGGAAATTCAGTGGAGAGGAAGATCTACATCTCCTTAAATAAAACAGCTCCTTGTGTCCGTCTGCTCAATGCCACTCATCAGATTGGCTGCCAGTGTGAGTTGAGGTTGGGATTTGTGTTTGTGGCCATTGATATTTCAGTCTGTGCCCTCAATATAAAGATCCAGGCTCTGCTTGGGAGTCTCAGCACACAAATTAGGCTGTCGGAGGTGATAGAGAACCATTTGTCAAACCAAGCAAGATAATTATAAATGCTGCATTCTTTTTTTTTTTTAAGATTTTATTTATTTATTTGACAGAGAGAGACACAGCGAGAGAGGGAACACAAGCAGGGGGAGTGGGAGAGGGAGAA